AATATTTATTGAGCAATTACTGAACTTGAGATGGTGCACTAAATGGTCTACATTTGCCCTGTTTCTTAATCCTTCAAACAAGTCTACAGAAGGATCTGATCTCATCAAAACTTGAGGCTCAGATTATGAATTGCCCAAATTCACAAAGCTCTTGGGTATTGGAGTCAATATTCATTTTCCAACTTGTTACCAAAGAGCTATTGTCCAGACCTTATTCATTTCTTGCTTTCACTCTTTGTCCTCTACCTTTTCCTAAGGTCTCCCGCCTGCTATGCAGAAAGTCATGTATAAGGGACTCGTGCCTGAGGATAAGACGTTGAGAGAAATGAAAGTGACCAGTGGGGCCAAGATCATGGTGGTTGGCTCCACGATAAATGATGTTTTAGCAGTAAACACACCCAAAGATGCTGCACAGCAGGATGCAAAGGCCGAAGAGAACAAGAAGGAGCCTCTCTGCCGGCAGAAAGTGAGTCCATCATGTGCTTCTTGGTTCTGGAAAATTTGAGGCTTAGTCCTCTCGAGCCTTGGCTGGTTATATTCTCCCTAGAATAAGCTCCTTTTCGGACAGGGCCCATGATGGAAATTTATGCAGCAGTTGGGTGCGGCAGAGTGGAGGTGACAACTACCTGAGATTTGCAACTTTGTCTCGTCTGCGGGTCAGTGTGTCTCAAGTCTACCTACTTTAGGATAAGGCCTTGGTCAAGGGAGGCTTCAGACTAGGTGTTGGAAAGAATCAGACATGGGTTTTTTTCTTCAGTGTCAGGGGGGAAAAAAGGCAGTATTAGAATTAAGCCCCATCCTGTACACGTTATTACTTTTGTGTTTGGTTTGTGTTCCCCCTACTTTAGGCATGGAGATCAACAGCTTTCAGAGGTTCCTCTAAAACTGACTGTTTTTAGAAAGCCAAATGAAGTCTAATAGAAAGATAACTGCACTGTTTTTGTTTTTTTTCTTTTTTGCTCTTGCTCCATAAATGGGTGCCTGATTTTTCACATTCTCTATTATTCATTTGGGATGGCTCAAATTATTTTCATATCTAAGAAAAGTGAGATTGTTATTGCAGGTGGAACAGGTTGAAAGAATCATCACTTGCAGTCTTATCAGGCAGGAAATTCCACTTGTTGCGGTCAAGCCTCTTAGCTGCTCTCAGTAGTGTTCCAGGAAGTCAGGTGTTCCCAACTTAACTTGTGTTTCAAGTAGAATATATCAGTTGAACCAACAAAAGTTTTAGTGAGTGTAGACACTAAGATATATGAGTAACAGTGAAAGGAGGACACAATTTAGTGCTACAAATTATTTTTTAAATAAAAAGAAATTGTTTTATTTATTTTTCATTTGACCAGAGAGGGACAAAGAGAGGGAAAATGAGAAGGCAAGCCGCCAGGTCTAGGACTTGAACCTGCAGTCAGCCATGTGGGAGTCAAGCACCCTTAACCACCGCACCGCTGCTGGTGCCTGGTGTTAAAGATTTCTAATCCCTTGTACGTGCTACCAAAATTCAAGGAGTCTGAAAGCCAAAAGTGGTTTTATAAATTTAATATCAAATCCTGGTCAGAATTAATAAAAATACCCATATTTTGCTATAGAAATATCAACATGTTTGGTAATAGAGTGCCGCCCCAGACCCCAAGGAAGATATTATATTTTAAAACTATGTTACCTTTATAAAAGTCCTAAAAGTCTAAAATCTGAAACATCTGTTTATAGGGTTTCAGATAACAGATTGTAAACCTATATTAATATCTAAAAAGTGTTTATTTGGACACTTTTCCCAATGCAGGATCATAATATCCCATGACTATTGGAATGGACTCGTTTCCATTTTGTCTTCCTCTGTCATGTATGAAATATCAAAGAGGAGTATGTAAGACCCGAGCGAGCCTTCCCACGGTCACACCCTTGGAGTATAACATGCCCCTTAAATACAGGTTTTGAATTACTAATGGTAGCTTAACAGGCCTGGAACTGTTTTCCACTGTGTAGGGAAAAGCCTTCAAAAGGTACTTGTAAGGCAGTATTTAAATTACACTTTTAACCCATGTTGCTTTCTCTCCCTAATTCCAGTTAGAAGGCATAACTTGACCTGATGAGAGGGATATAGTCCCTTAGCTTTTTTCAGCTTATTCAGGAATATGGGACCGATGTATAGGGTGACCTTTGCTAACAGTGTGACAGTGTTGAGTTTATTTCAGGCAGAGGGTTTCTGCCATACCAGTGAGGATTTGAGCTGGCTGGCGACCCCTTGATGCTTAAGTTTGATTAAATTTTTACCCTCGACTCATTCATTGGCCCACGATTTTTACCTTGCCAGGTAGCGACTGCACCTATAAAGCCACAGAGAGAGAAGAGACAAGACTTAGGCATTTAGGTCAGGCAAGAGAGCTGTTTGGGGGGCATGAAATTAGAACCCATAATGAGCTGCCTCTAAGTCCTCAGCATAGGGGCTGAGAGGGTAGAAGCTTCAGTGTCGAGTTATTGAGTGACCAGCATTTCTGTTTGGAAATGTGGCTCTTTAAACTTTCTGTTTAGTTAGGGTCGAGGATAGGGTTAGAGAGACTTATGCAGTGGACTGGGTCTTTTTTTTTGTTGGGGGAGAAAAAAAGCCCCCGCTAGGCAGATAGGCTGGTTAGCAGCATCTCGGTTTCCTTTGGGAGTTTAAGTTATAGAAGTGACAGTCATTTTCTACCCATCAGGAGAGTAACACCCTGTGACTCTCTTTAGCATGATGTTTAATCCTCTCGGTTAGTGATTGTTTTTTTTTTCTGGGGTCGGGAACAAAGGAGGAAAACTTTTTTGAATTAGTCATCTAAAACAGTAGCTATAGAGTTGATTAAAATTAGTTCTTAATTAAATTAAGAATTTGATTCCTCAGTTGTACTGATCACATTTCGAGTGCCTCATTAGCCACATGTGACCAATGGCTAGCACAGGCGCAGGACATTTCCATCGTCACGGAAAGTTCTGCTACCCAGCCCTGTCCCATAGCGCCAAGGACCCACAGTCCATAGACTTCAAAAGCTTTTGAACCAAAACACTAAGGCTTTCTTCATCCTGTCTGTCAGAGAGGTAGTAACATGACTAAGTGTAGTCAAGTGTCTGATTTAATTCTCTCTTCTGACTTACGTTGTAGCAACACAGGAAAGTGTTGGATAAAGGAAAACCCGAAGATGTGATGCCATCTGTTAAGGGTGCCCAGGTAAGCCAGATAGCTCAGCATTCTGAACGTGAACCAGTCTCGCCTTCTGATTTCCTGAGGTGCACTCATTGTGTCCTCAGATCCTGTCCCTGCTCTTCCTTCTGCCTGATAGTCCCTCCATCTCTTACCATGCTCTTGTGCCTCCAGGAGCGCTTGCCCACAGTACCGTTATCTGGCATGTACAATAAGTCTGGAGGAAAAGTGAGACTCACCTTTAAGCTAGAACAGGATCAGCTGTGGATCGGCACTAAAGGTATGTAATTCTTCTCTTCCCCTTCCCAGCTCACTGCCTGCCTCAGGCACCTGGCAGCACTCATTCTTGAGTGCAATTCTGCTTCTCATTCTGAAACCTCTCTTTGTTGTGCTTGGCGTGCTGCTGGCGTTTGAATTTGTTTTTAGATGCTTGCCTTTTGTTTGGGCCCTTTTCCCTCTTTTCAGTGATCTCGGGGTCAGTCCATCAAATATTGGCTCTTCAGTGGCACACAAAATCAGGGGTTCCAAACATGTGGCCCAAGGGCCAGGTCTGTTCCACAGACAAGGGTTTTGCACACAATCTGTAAAAATGGAAAGATTTCACTTATTCTGACCTTTTTTTTGGCTTCTCTTGAAAAAAGGCAAAAGATTTGGTCATCTTAGTCCTGAGTTCTCACACAACATGGATTGGCTAGAGCCAAGAGGTAGTTCCCAGCGGACTATGCTACAGTCCTCCTGGTCCCACTGTCTTTTATGTAGCCAGGTTCATTTATTTATGTCATCTGCCTGGCCCCTGTAGGTCAGAATTTGACCCTTGTAATAGGTGAAGTTTTCCTAACTGCTGCCTGGGAGCCTGTTCCTCCCCCCTGGCTGGATGCTCCCTGCCCACCCCACCCCTGCCTGTGCACGGTATCTGGATCAGCCTTGCTGTTTGCTGGGAAATGTCTGACTGTCCTCCCTCTCCCTTCCTCCAGATGGTTACACAGTCTTGTCAGCTGCACTGCAGAATTGTCTGTGTCCCTTTCTTTGCCACTCTGCCATGCCAGTTAAGGCTCTTAGCATTATTAAACTCGGTCTGTTACAAGCAAGTTAAACTATCTTCCTGCCCCTTCTGTGTTTTCTTCTGTCCTGTCTTCCATGCTGCTTTTTGTCACTAGTTCTCGTGCTCAGAAACCTTTGACTCTTTAGGCCAGGTTTAAATGCCCAAACCTAGTGCTCTATATTCTCAGCAGTGGACCCCAGTTTAAATTTCCCACCTAGCTTCCAGCCCCATGGGCCCTATTTTCCCCTGTGTATTTCCCTGTGTGTTTCAGTGCATCACTCCCTGAACTTCCCATCATGCTTCGCACAGCTCCCTGTCTCTGCCCCTGCTGTGCCCTTACCTGACATTACCTTCTTCCCATTCCTTGTTGTTAATAAAATCTTCTAAGGTCCTATTTAAATGTCCTCTTAATGAAGCCTTCCCTGATAGCTGTCCCACCCTCCAAATGAATTGCTGCCGCTTCTGTTCATAGAGTGCTCTGTTTATATCCTCAGAGCACTCATTACTCTCTGACTTGTCTGTCCCTGTTAGATTCCTGGAGGGAACCGAACATGCCTAATTCACCTGTTACTGGCCAACTGTAGGTATTCAGTGTTTGAGGTAAATGCTAAAGAAAAGTATAGGGGGGTCCCACGATCTGAGGTCAGTTGCTCTCTGGGACAGGCCATTTAAAATGGGACCACAGTTCTACAGAGAGTAACCAGGGCAGGGGTGGTGGGAAGTGAGATTTGTATCATCTGAAACACGAAAGTAAGTTTCTCATTTTCGACTTTGTGCTGGTTCTTAAAGCAAACAAAGATTGAAATGCCAATAACACTTGGGTTTTCTGCCTTAGGATAACTTGCTATATTCTTCATTTCACATTTAACTCTTAACTGTACAGTCAAAGCAAGTCTGCAAATTCTTCAGGGTTTTCCAAGGGCTTTCGAGCCCTTTACTAGGCCATTCTTTTCTGCAGAGCCTGTCCCATCCGTGCACCATACACCCTCACCCCACCCTGTCAGTAGTTAGCTGCCCCACCTCTGTCAGCTTTGTAGATGATTTTGCATAGTTCTCCGTTATTGCTTTCACTCGCCAAAATGCATAGGCTTCCTGCCTCTTGCTAGACGTCTATTGAGTCATCAGAAAAGTCATGATTTATTTTTCTATGCAAAAAAATGCGTCATGACTTTCCCAGTGACCCAATACTTTTATTTGTGAGCAGCCTAATTAAAGGTAGTTGCTGTGGGTGATCCTAGAAGACATGATGGCTAGGAAGGTAGGTGCGAGCAGGGGGTTTAGGGTGGGGGCTGAGAATGTGTTTGTTGGTTTTGCAGAAATAAATACAGGCATACCTTGGAGATATTGTGGGTTGGTTCCAAGCAACCACAGTAAAGGAACTACTATCACAATAGAGTAGTCATACGAATTCTGTGGCTTTTCGTTGCATATAAAAGTTATCATTACCCTATACTATAGTCTATTAAGTGTGCAACAGCAACATGCTTAAAAAACACAAGGTGTGTGTAGGTACCTTAATTTAAAAACACCTTATTCTTAAAAAGCACTGATAATAATTTGACCCTTCAAAGAGACATCATCTTTTTGCTGGTGAATCTTGCCTTGATATTGATGGCTGCTAATTGATAGGTGTGGTGGCTGCTGAACGTTGGAGAGGCTGTAGCAATTTTTTAAAAAAAATATGTATTTATTTAATCCCATTTGTTGTTGTTATTATTTTTTTTTCTATGCAAAAAAATGCGTCATGACTTTCCCAGTGACCCAATACTTTTATTTGTGAGCAGCCTAATTAAAGGTAGTTGCTGTGGGTGATCCTAGAAGACATGATGGCTAGGAAGGTAGGTGCGAGCAGGGGGTTTAGGGTGGGGGCTGAGAATGTGTTTGTTGGTTTTGCAGAAATAAATACAGGCATACCTTGGAGATATTGTGGGTTGGTTCCAAGCAACCACAGTAAAGGAACTACTATCACAATAGAGTAGTCATACGAATTCTGTGGCTTTTCGTTGCATATAAAAGTTATCATTACCCTATACTATAGTCTATTAAGTGTGCAACAGCAACATGCTTAAAAAACACAAGGTGTGTGTAGGTACCTTAATTTAAAAACACCTTATTCTTAAAAAGCACTGATAATAATTTGACCCTTCAAAGAGACATCATCTTTTTGCTGGTGAATCTTGCCTTGATATTGATGGCTGCTAATTGATAGGTGTGGTGGCTGCTGAACGTTGGAGAGGCTGTAGCAATTTTTTAAAAAAAATATGTATTTATTTAATCCCATTTGTTGTTGTTATTATTTTTTTAATTTGGCTAGAGACAGAGAGCGAAAGGGAAAGTGACAGAGCAAGCCACCAGGTCCGGGCCTTGAACTGTGGTTGGCCATGTGGGAATCCAGCACCTTTAACCACCACGCCACCTGCCGGCCCCAAATGTTTCACTGCTTCTCCCTCTTTTTTTTTTTTTTTTTTTTTTTTGAGAGGTTTTTTTGCTATAGGGCGCGTGCGCTCTCCAGACAGACAGAGACATAGAGACAGAAAGAGAGAAATCACCACCCAGGGGGGATGGTCACACCGCAATCCCTTCTCCTCCATTCTCCTCTTGGGATCTTGGGCACGCACGCACACGCGCCTGGCGTGAGTTTTAAGCCACCGGGTCCGGGACTTGAATTGCAGTCGACTACGTGGGAGTCCAGCGACATAGCCATTACGCTAACTGCTGGTTCCCGGCTGTGGCAATTTTTAAAAATAGGACAACAATGAGGTTTGCTCCGTCAGTCAATTCTTCCTTTCACCAAAGGTTTCTCTGTAGCATGGAATGGTGTTTGGTAGTATTTTCCCATGAGTAGAACTCTCAAATGAAGTCAGCCCCTCCAACCCTGCCACTGCTTCATCAGCTAAGTTTACATGCTATTCTAAACCCTCTGTTGACATTCCCACAATGTTCACAGATCTTCACCAGGAGTGGATTCCATCTCAGGAAACCACTTTATTAGTCCTCCATAGGCAGCAGCTCTTCATCCATTTGTCATGGGATTACAGCAGTTCAGGCTCCACTTCTCTTGCTCTTTATACTGCCCTGCAGTTACTTCCTACACAGTCTTGGATCCCTCAAAGTTATCTGTTATGGTTGGAATCCACTGCTTCTAGGTTTCTGTTACTGTTGGTAGTTTGACTACTTCCCCACCCTGTGAATCACGAATGTTCTTAATAACATTTAGAATGGTAAATTATTTCTAGAAAGCTTCGGTTGACTTTGTCCAGACCCATTAGAGGAGTCACTCACTATGACAAATATAGCCACGTGAAATGTGTTTCTTAAATAATTAAGACTTGAAAGTCGACCTGACTCCTTGATCCGGGGGCTGCAGAGTGGGTACTGTGTTAACAGGCATGAAAATGGTAATCTCTTTGTATATCTCTGTAGAGCTCCTGGGTGACCAGGTGCATTGTCAGTGAACAGCAGTATTCTGAAAGGAATCTGCTTTCTGAGCAGTAGATCTCAGCAGTAGGCTTCAAATAGTAAACCATGCTGTAAACAGATATGCTATCATTTAGGGTTTGTTCTACAGGTGGAATAGATGTAGCATAATTTCTAAGGGCCCTAGATTTTCAGAACGGTAAGTGAGCATTGGCTTCTGCTTAAAGTCACTAGCTGCTTTAGCTGCTAAAGGAGAGTCGGCATGTGTAGTGAGACTTTGAAGCCAGGCATTCACTTCTCTAGCTGTGTAAGTCCTAGGTGACATCTTCTAATATAAGGCTGCTTTGTGTATATAAATTAAAAATCTCTTATTTAATGTACCCAGCGTCATCAGTTGTCTTAACTATATCTTCTAGATAGCTTGCTGCAATGTCTACATAGCATTTGCTACTTTACCTTTCGCTTTGATGTTCCAGAGACAGCTTCTGTTTTTAAACCTTGTGAACTAACGTGGTAACTTCAGGCTTTTCTTCTGCAGTTTCCTCCTCTTGCTTAGCCTTCATAGAATTGAAGAGAGTTAGGACTTTGCTTTGGACTAGGCTGAAGGAATGCTGTGGCTGGTTTGATCCTCTAACTGGCTGGTTTTATCCATATCCTAGAACTTTCTGCATTACCAGCAATAACACTTTTGTTCTCTCTTTGTTCCCATGTTCACTGGAGTAGCACTTTTAAGAACTTTTCATTTGCATCACAGCTTGGCTAACTGGTATAAGGGTCCTAGTTTCAGTCTGTCTCCGCTTTTGACATAATTTCTGACTTAATTTAAAGAGACAGAGGTGCAGCTCTTCCTTACACTTGAATACCACAAGGCCATTGTATGGTCAGTAAGTGATCTAGTTTCAGTATTGCTGTGTCTCAAAGAATAGAGATGCCAGAACACACAACACTGATTAAGTTCACTGCCTTATATGGACAGTTTATGGCACCAAAACTATTACAATAGTAACATCAAAGACCACTGGTCACAGATCACTGTAACAGATATAATAACCATGAAAAAGTTTGAAGTGGAAGAATTACAAAATGTAACACAGAGGCACAAAAGTGAGCATGTGTTGTCAGAAAAAAATGGCACTGATCTGCTTTATAGGGTTGTTGCAAACCTACAGATTAAAAAGAAAAAAAGGCAATGTCTGGAGCACCATAAGACAAGGTATGCCTGTATTTTCGTGTTATGAAGTGTAGGAAACACATGATAACTCGGGGGCTGATAGAACGAGAACCTCCTGTACCCCTGCTGAAAGTGTTATTCTAGCTTGTAGGAGCAGCTGCCTTCCTGCTTTGGCATGAAAGCAGAGCTCTGGAAACAGCTTATACGTTGGGGCTTCTGAGCCATTGAAAGCTTCCTTACTCCCCAGCCATATTGAGGAGCATAACCAGGGTTGACCAAGGCTGAGATTTTTTTATTCCCACCCAGCCCACTGGCTCAGTGTCCCTCAGAGCCTGGGGGCAGCTCACTTCTCACTGTCCCCCAAGAGTGCTGTAAGCACTCATAGGACAGCTTGTTCTGGGAGTTGGCTACTTGCCACTGGCTTCATCTTTCTGTCAGCAAGAAGCTGCTGTAGAATGACCATCCCAGGCAGCTAGTTGGCCTCTCCTCGGGGCTTTTTGCTGAGTAAGTGACCCACAGGGGCTACTACTTCTGGCCGAGGTCTCTCTGTGCTATCTAGTGTAGGAGGAGGTAGTACTAGCAGTGTCAGGCATAACAGCAAGAAGAACAAGCTCCGGGCAGGAGACGTGAACAAGTGCAGCTGCCAGGGGAGAGCATGTGCCCTGTTCGTGGTGGAGTTGAATCTAATCCAGCTGACAGCCGTCACTGGGGAATGCGGCCAGGATTGTCGTAATCTTTAGAGTTTTCAAGAGAAGCCAGAAATTGATCTTTTTGTGTGAAATACCCAGACATTTCAAGATGAAAGATGTTTTAGAAAGTTTTAATCTTAAAACAACTGCTGGTTAGATCTCGCCTGTGGGCCATTATTTTAGAGTCCCTGAAAGTCAAAGCTTGAATGACTATCTTCAAGTCTTTTCTCCCTGACCCCAGTTTTTAGAGGCCAAGGCCCGCAGAATGAAAGTAAAATGTCTCGGGTCACCAGGTTCTAAGTCTGTTTTGTCAGCTTACCTATTTTCAGGTTCTTTCCAGATTTTTCCTCCTACAAAGGCTCTAAGGAGTTTTTTTCCAACCTGATTTAACTGTTCGCCTAGAACCCCCCTGCACCTGAAGCATCTGCTGCTTCTCAGTGGGCTTGTCTTGTGTAGGTGCCCATGCCCCTCCTGTCCTTACTCTGTCCTGCTCACTCATCTCACCCCAGCAGCCTCTTCTCACTCCAGGCCTCCCTTGCTGCCTCTGCCTTCTTACCCGCTGTCCTTAAATTGCTGAAGAATGTCTTCTGACCCCATGTGGTCAGTGGCATCTCAAGTGTTAATCACAAGAAGTTATAAATGTTTTAAGTGCATGAATACAAATGGGGAACCAGCAGATGGTGTGGGTGGGGGAACCAAGGGAGGGCAGGGGTGGGTGGTCAGAGAGCAGAATCAGGATATATAAACTAGTCCAGAAACCCAAGCATTCTTGTGAGAGCCACAGGGGAACACGGATGCCTCTTTGTTCTTGGGCCTCTTGCCTATCCCTATCCTGGGCACCCAAGACCTTAGCTAAGGCTGAAGTTAGGCAATAAGGTGGGTACAAAGAAGTTTGTTGGGTATTTATTACTCATCAGTCTTTTTTAAAAAGTAATGAAGGATATATACAAAATCTTCAAAAAAGTTTCTGGAAAAATGCATATTATGAAAAAAAGTGCATAGATTTTGAAATTTTTTTTGCATCAAAATAAACCTATACTTTAATTCTATTTTTCCATCAACTGGTTTGAAGTTCCCATGAATCTCTGCTCTCAGAGACCTTTATTGTCTCATTGTCAAATCCTGCTCCCCTCTTGCTCCTTGGGATTTCTCAGCTCCCAAGCAGGGCTCTGGGATCAGAAGGTCCTATTGCATTTCCCTAGAAAGCATGGCACAGTTCACTAGAGTTGACCGTAGATCCCATAGCCACCAACCCTGATGAGGGACTCCTGAGTCAGAGGGGTAGAACAGGAGGGCCTTTGAGTAATCATTGTAATCCCTCTCAACTTAGAGCGGACTGAGAAATTGCCCATGGGCTCCATTAAAAATGTGGTCAGTGAACCTATCGAAGGACACGAAGACTACCACATGATGGTAAGTAGCTGGCTCGGCTCAGCCTCTCACTAGACTGCAGCTTCTGCTTCATCTAGCAGGGAATGGATTTTTAACTGAGCTTTTCTAATTTAAGAAGAATCTCAGTCTTCAGAAGACCCACTGTGTTAAGGCCCTCATGTTTTCTTCATCTACTTAGAACTGAGTTCATGACCCTATTCCTGGTTCTATTTATTTTGCAGCTCCTCCACACACACTGTACTCACCAGGAGTTTAAAGAGAGTATGGATCCTCTTACGTCTTTTAGAAATGTCTCTTTTTGCCTCCCTCTTCTTTGTAATGTTTTTCAACCAGGAAAATAAATATGAAGAGGAGGAATGACTTGGATTTTCATTGTATATTTTGTCTTGCGTATGTAAACCCAAATCTTCCCCTGACATTGGTGTTTGTGAGGACACCTGGTGATCATCTTCCCAGGCTGTACCTGTTGAGTGGCTGAAGACCCTGTGGGGAGGACAGAGTCTGTGGAGCATCTGCAGCATACGGGTCTGCTCTACTGAGCAGGGTACACTTCCCTAAGACAAGATGTTTGGAGGCATTTGACAAGTCTACCAAGAACATGGCAAAGACTTCAGTGCTTCAGTAAAATGAGTAGCTTAGGCAAAACTTCCTTTATCCCAGCACTATTCAGAAGGGCCACTTTAAAACTGAGGTTTAGCTTTCTAAACTCCAGAGTTACTGTGACAGGGACCTGAGTTGAGCTGTAGTAGTGTAAGGCCAGGTATCCTCCAGGGGCAGGTATCAGCATACAGCTGGTAGTGACATAGCTGTGTTGGCCTCATTCCAGTGAGCAGGAACAACTAGTGGCCTGGCCGTGGGGGTTGGTGTTAAAAAGTCCATAGCAGAAAGATGTGACTGAAGGTCCCCTTGCTTAGGAAAAATCAGTCAAAAGGGCTCAGAGCATGGCGGGTTCTCTAGCCAGCAGCACCTGCTCTCCTACCCTGTTGGTTTGTCAGGTCGATGGTGCTGTAGTAAGGCCATGTGGGCTGCACGGCTCTGGGAGTGATGACAGTGTCACTAGGGCTTATTGTAGGCCCTCCAGCAGCCCTTCTACCCTCTTTCCTCTCTAGTCTTTAAAACAAGATTGCAGACATTTGATTTACCTGCTCAGTTACTTATTTTTCTGTTCACAGTTAGATTTTAATATTTTTAACTGGGCTTCTTTGCCCCTTTTTGAAATATTTGTGTTACCAGTTTGGCCTCGTAGGCTTTGCCATCCCAGTTTTCAAGCAGTGTGTGACAGAGGTTACAAGCCAGTTGAGTGAACTATCTTGGATATCTTTTAAAAGCACTTGGTGTGAGGGGGGACATCAGTTGATGTGTTAAGGCACTAGATTCCCACATGTCTGACTCCATGGTTCGAGTCCCAGACCCAGCAGCTTAAAAATAATGCCATGCCGGGCGTGTGTGTGTGTGTGTGTGTGTGTGTGTGTGTGCGCGCGCGCGCGCCCGAAATCCCAAGAGGAGAATGGACGAGAAGGGATTGCGGCATGGCCATCCCCTGGGGTAGGGGGTTGATTTCTGACTTTCCCACTCTGTCTCCAGCAAGTGCAGCGCCCTCTGACAAAAACCTGAGGGGGGAAAAGCACACAGTGTGGAAGGGTGATGACCTTGGTTTAGTTTGCATACCCATTTCTCTGTGGGGTCGTTTCTGGCCGAGGGTGGTCCTAATATCCCCCGTTCTCTTTTCTACACACCATTAAGTAGCACCTTTACCTTTGTCCTAAAGAAAATATTCACTTTCCTCTTTTTGCAGATGCCATTTCTCTAGCCAGATTAGTGCATCATATTTTACAATTAGAAAACTGGCTTTGCTTTTTTATTTTTAGAGAAGTGATTTAAATTTTATAAAAACAACGAATAACTTAACAAACCCATATATCCATCACCAGGAAATAACAGTTGTAGCCTGCTGTAAATCTTTTTTAAAATAAAAAAAAATGAAATTTATCAGCAGCTGTGTCCCCTTGTCTTCCCCTTCCCCATTGCCATTATCATGATATATCACGTGACTCCTTCCCAGCTATTTATGCTTTTCTTTGTACATATATCCATGATCAGATCGAGTATTGTTTTGTGTTTTTTCAGTTTTCGTAAATGGTATCATGGTATGTATTGTTCTGCAACTTGCTTTTTTTTTTGGTTCGACATTGTGATCTGTCAGTATTAACTGTAGATCCATATGGATCCAGTTCATACTTTTTTAAAAGTACTCCAGTGTTCGTATGAATAGGCAACCTCACTTTTAATTCCATGTTCCCTTACTGATGGATATGTAGGTTGGTGCCAGGTTTTTATCGTGTCTGACAGTGCTGCTTTGAACATTCACACCTGTTTCCTTGTGCATGTGTGACAGGTTTCCTAGGGCAGCGGTTCTCAAACTGTGGTCTCTGGATCAGCAGTTGTTGCATCACCTGGGAGCTGGTTAGACATTTCTCAGGCCCCACCCCGGACCTCCTGAATCAGAAGCTCCAAAGGGTGGAACCTGCCAATCTGTGAACAGAAGTCTTCCAGATGGTTCTGATGCTCACTCAAGTTTGAGAGCCACTGCTTTAGGGATGGCTATGCTTTAACTCCCACCTCCTTTTTCTTCTTCTTTTCTTTTCTTTTTTTTTTTTTTTTTTTTAAATAAATTTGTTAGGAGAATGCTCCCCATGTGCACAGTTTTGTTTTTCTTTCCTTCTTAATGAATTCACTTCCTAGCCCTTCCCTGTGTTTATTGTTCTTGCTTGGTCTCCCAACTTCTGAGTACCGCTTGGTTTTCCTTTTTCCCTTCCAGGCGTTTCAGTTGGGCCCCACGGAAGCCTCTTACTACTGGGTGTACTGGGTTCCAACTCAATATGTGGATGCAATCAAAGACACTGTGCTGGGGAAATGGCAGTATTTTTGAAAGCACTTTCACCTCTGGCCCAGGAGACTGACCCAAAGTGAAGGACATTGCCGGGAGAGGCCTGCAGCATTCCTGGATTTCAGAGTTCTGGAACTTTGTTACAAAAAAAATCTATATTCAATCTAAGGCGATGTGGTGACTGAAGCCAGAGGTGATGTACTTTCACCATTAGCTTAATTTTAACTTAAAATCACCGGTTCCCTTTCTTGCAGTCAGCTTCGTACCATTTTTAAAGTCAATACGGTGGAAATCAATAAATTTGAATTCTGAACATGTTGTGTGGAATACTCTTAAGTGTGTTTGAGAGTAGATCTGCCAATTATGTTGAGAAGGTAACGATCAAAAGCTTTTTTTTGTTTGTTTTTGTTTTTAAGTGATTTCAACTGAAATATTTTCATAAATCTTTGGTTGCAAACATTTGGACTGCGTTGTGATGAGTTGGGGTTTTTTTTTGTTTGTTTCATATAAAATTGTATGCAAAAATAGGGGGGGTTAGTAAGCCATATTTTTCTGTCCATCGATTCAGATTTAATTCTTTCCCTTTTTTATTTTCTCACTTCCTAGATTTGAGTTTTTGTTTTAAAAACCCAAAGATGTCAGTTCCTCTTGTGGTACCTCATGAATGCTTCCTTTCCTGGCTCCCTCCCACCGAGCTGCTGCTCTCGTGAATGCGCGGTGGGAGAGGAGAACTGTTTGGGCTCGGTCAGGGAGCGCTCACACTCGCTGTGGTGTGTGTTGAGCAGCAGAGTGTCTCACAGTGACTCCTGTCTAAACGTCTTGCCCTTTGGGCCCTAATCTCTGGGGAGTTCCATTGCTAGCTTGATGGTTGTCTGCAACTCTCACTGGGCTTGGCTTTGAGGCTAGCCTGGCACGGGTACACCTGGGCTGTGCCGCCTAGAAGCCCCAGCCCCCAGGCAGAACTGAGGCCACTGAAAGCAGGAGCCAGGGAGAAGACCGTTTATAACAGCCATATAGCTACAGATGCAGATACCTTCTTTCTTTGGAAGTTTTCAAGAAATCCATAAGCAGTCCAATGGTTATTTCAATTATGCTTCTCCATTTGGTCCTTCTGCTCATGTGTTAAGTTCAAGTGTCCTTTATCCCAGGTTCAGAGATGCTGCCTTTTGCAGTTAGAAGACATGTCCCCTAGTGGGTTGGCCGATGTTATTTCAGCAACAAAAATGGGATAAATTGCTTTCATGATTAGCTCACCCTCTTCTGGTTTTAGCCCGTGTGTTCTTCATACACGTGAACTTCTGTGGTCTCCTGATGGCTTGATTGACTCTGAAATGAGGGAAAGTCTCTTGGTGAATGATATCCTTTGTGCTGTTTGCTGTTTCTCTGCTGCTGTCTTTGCAATTCTCCTCTCACTGGATGCAGGCTCTCATAGTAAGGTTTGGCGAGAAATTTTCCAAACTTCACGTTTTGGATTCTAGGCTGTTACCCCTCATTCTGTGAAACGTATTAGCATGTGTTCGCCTAAGATGACTATTCCTTGTGAGCCAGTTAATGATGATCTGCGCCCTTCCCTTCTAAGCTGTAGTTCAGGAATCCAGCCCATATAGACAGACTCTTGCTTTTTGTGGTGTAGTCAATGCCAAGTTATGCATCTGGGCAGGAAAATCTACTCTCTGCTTTTTTGGGGGCATAAGTACATATGTGGAGTGCAGCATCCAAGAAACTGCCTGTTTTTCATCCCTTGAAAAAGGAACCAGTAACTCGGCCTGTAGCTCCTGGAGAAAGAGTGCTGCTTTGCTTCTTGTCCAAGCCTCCCTGTGCAGTTGACAGATCACAGAGGAAATGATCACGTAGCGAGTAGAGCATCGTCTTGGTTTGGAGACTGCCCTTGTCTGCCAACCCCTTTCCTAGGGACACATCCCAACAGCGCCTCACGCCCACTGTGGAGCCCTTGAAGCGGCGTCTCCGTCTCCGGACTGGCCTCACTTGCAGCGCCGCCCTCAGAGGCCCGTCTGGCAGCTTTCCCCACGTGCCCTGTTTGTGTGACATCCCTTCCTCCCAGGGAGAGCGCGCGTCCCATCGTCTCCTGCTCCCCAAGGGCCAAATCGCTTCTCACTCAGGCTGGTGTCATTTCAAGAGGACCAAAGCCTGTGTGAGCCTTTTTATTTTAAGTCAAATGGTGCTTTTTTACTTACTTGGAGATATTATATATAAATAATAATGTAAATGACATCTTTTCGTATGGAGCTGTTCGAGTATTGCTTTACAGAGCTCACATAATTTGCTATTGCAGCAATCTTGAGCTCTGGCTCCTGACCCTGTTGCATGGAAGACCTTACTGGAAGCTCTCGGGAGAGCAGAGGTCGAGAGCACCAGAAGCCCCTGGGAGAAGTGTTGAGATCCATGGTGGGGTCGCAGCAGTATTCACTCTTTTGTCACTCAGTCCTGTGAACAGTGTCTTCATGTATTTCTTACAGTCTGGAGTGTACGAAGTCCGTGTAAGCAGGTTGAAATACTCTTCTCCTTCAGTAGCACCACAGTGGTTTTTTTTTCCTTCAGGATTATTTCTGTACAATTCCTTCATTCTCAGAGGGGACCAGATCTTCCCTCACTGTGGTAGAGGATGTGCAGGTGGATAAAGGAGAAGCTGGTTTCTGGTAGGGACTCTTAACAGCATTACCTGGAAGTGGAGATGGAGGGAGGGCTAGGGCTTGCCGTCTCTGCCAGGTCGACAACGCTTTGAGCCTCCTGGTGGTCTTTCTCTCCTGGGATTTGTACTGGTGATCCTCCTGTAGTCTTTGCTCAGATGTCATGTCTTTCTTTCCCTCCGTGAGGCAACTTGGCAGAGTAATGCGACATCATGACCTGGGTGAGCCGGGTCCCCTCAGCTTTGTTGGTCAGATCAGAGAATCGAGAAAGACAGAGTCAGGAGTTGATAGAACTCTTTGGTATTAAGTGTTTTGATCCATGATGGGCCTTTTGCAAGTAGCAATAGCTCTTTTTAAAATGAAGTTTAACTGAGCTGAGGATGCACTTTCTTATAATCTGTGGACGTACAGTAGGGTCCCATGCGAGGCCTTCAGTAGGCTCCTTAGTTGCTGCTTTACCTTATGAGGGCCAAAGAGATTAACTTTGCCACATTGCCACGTCTTAGAAAAGTTGCCATATTTCACCCAGAAGAGGCTTGCTTTCTTCTTACCATTTTAACCATGTGCCTGGAGGAGCCATCTGGGCTCTTGCACTTGGCCCACCCTTTCTTTGCTGGGGCGGGAAAGGGAAAGGGGTTAGATTCAGTGTGCCAAGGGCCATGCAAGGGCAGGCTTTCTTTTCACCCATCTGCTGAGGGAGACCTTTTTCTCTCACTCCTTGCCTCTGTTCATGCCTGTTGTCTTGGAAAAGGATGGTCCCTTTGTCTTAAGGCTTTGTGATAAAGTCATCTCCAGTTCGAATAGGCACCTGTTTCTTCTTACTAGGGCCTAGTGGCCTTTCTGAAGTTACAGGTGGTTGGGAGCCCTCTAATGTGCAGAACATCTGGTAGATTTACCTGCCAGGCTGGGTGGTTCTACTGCTTCCTAAATTTCAAAAAACCTCTTACTTTTTCTTTCGTAAAGAGTTCTGCAGAATTATTTGACACTATATGTAAGTACCATGTTTCCTTGTGGTGTACGCTCTGTTCTGGTTCTGTTTTTATATCAAATGCCTGTTTGGGAGGAGATGAACGTATTTAGTCTATTAGATTTGCGCTGCTGGATTTTTTTTTTTTAAAGTGTAACCTTGACTAGCTGTCTTATTGTTTATCCTGTAAGATTAGTCTATCAATTAAAGTTTGATAATTAATTGCGTCTCTTTTTTCCTTCCAATTCTTCATGCGCCTAATCTGTACTGGGACTTGATATCAACATTTGGAGCTGGGCCCAAAGTCATCTTTTTGCCAACTGTGGTCATATTTGACTTTGAGTATAGCCAAGTTTGTCGTCTAATGAAAATGATTGATAAAATAGTTTTGATTTTATTTATTCTGTACAGATGCTCCTCGACTTATGATGAGATTATATCCCAATAGGCCCGTTGTAGTCGAAAATAACCTTTTTTTTTTTATTTTGGAGAGGTTTTTGCCATAGGGCACGTGCGCTCGCCAGATAGAGACACAGAGCCAGAAAGCGAGAAGTCACCCCCCAGGGGGGATGGCCACGCCGCAATCCCTTCTCCTCCATTCTCCTCTTGGGATCTTGGGCACGCACGCACACACACCTGGCGTGAGTTTTAAGCCACCAGGTCCGAGACGTGAACCGCGGTCAACTACATGGGAGTCCAGCGACATAGCCATTACGCCAACTGCTGGTCCCTCGAAAATATCTTTTACGTGTATACTTAATACTCCAATAAACCCATCATAAAATAGAAAAATGATAAATTGAACCATCGTAAATCAGGGATCAGCTGTAGTCAAAGTGGCCATCTGGACAGTCAGCCATGCCCCTGTTGAGACAGCCCTCTTGTCTGCCCTGGTTTCCATGTGTTGGACAGAGGCCACCTCCCTGTCCTTATACCTCATAACCTCATCTGCCCATTTAGCCTTATAGGGCATAGGTTTTTTGAAAAGTTCATTTATAGTGAGAGAGTGATAAGGGTACTTTGACAGGGTCTCCATTCCATGACCCATTCCAATCCCAGCCAGCTCAGGTCATGGCTCTTGTGCTCACCATGCCCAGGAAGGTCTTGGGGTGTGGATCCAGGCGCCCTTTCATGTAGGTTCAGCCAGCCAATGAAACTACAGCTATAGCCACAAGATGCATAGACCCAGGAGGAGGGGGAGAGAAAATCTCTTACCAAAAATGAGACAGAGCAGAATCCTTGGTTTGAAGAGTGATAGGGTTTGCTAGAACTATTTTTGACCCAGCACAGTTCCTACTAGACCCTTTCCCCCTTTCCCCCTATTTTGTAAGTGTTCCTGAAGGTTCTGATCTTCCTCTTCCTGACAGGGAGAGAGTCAGCTCTTTTTGCCATTTTCTCAAAATCATAATTCTGAAGCAGTGCTGATAGATGCTTAAGGATTTGTTACATGGGAGAGAGGGGGGACACGGTAGGATTGTGCCTTGTGCTGTTGCCCACCTAGAAGATCTGTCTGCATAGAGGGTACTTCTGGATTCTCTCCCAGTTCTAAATGGTTATTTCAGGCAACCTAAAACTAATAGGGTGATTGACTGTCCTCAGGTGGAGAATGAGACAAACTTCAGTCTACTTATCTTACTAGAATATGGAGAAGCCAAAGTGTTTTTCCTGTTCTGTCATTCAGTACTTGACACAGAATACTTACCCAGTCACCAACTCGTCTGTGAGAATTTCTCCCCACCAGCATATACCTGTTGCACGCCCTCTAACTGAACTCAGCTCTGACACTACCTGCAAATGGTATCAGAGCCCACAGGGTGAGGGCTCAGTCCCACCAGACTGCCATCCCGGTGTCAATCGATCGTAAGCCCCAGGTGGTTTACTATGCTTCTGAGTGATTGGCTCTTAATTGGAGTTTGCTCAACTCGCCCCCTACCCCAGGTCTGACTCATTTGCTTAGATCTCACAGAAGTCAGGAAAACATGTACTCATGTTACTCATTTATTATAAAGGATATTCCATAGGAGACAAGAGATTCATGGGGCAAGGTATGTGGGAAGGGGTGTGGAGCTTTCATGCCCTCCCTAGACGGGCATACCACCCTCCAGGAACCTCTCTGTGTTTAGCTATCTGAAAACTTCCTGAACCCAGTCCTTTCAGGTTTTCATAGAAGCTTCATCACGTAAGATTGATGGATTAAATCACTGGGCATCAACAGTCACCCGGTCTTCCTACCCAGGTGTTAAGAAGTGGGGTTGATAGACCTCTGGTCTTTTCTTGGCACCAGCTCCCATCCTGAAGCTGCCTAGGGTCCCTAGGCACCAGTCCTCTCATTAGCATCCAAGAGACACCACTCCAGAGATTCTGAGGGGTTTAGGATCCATAAGTCGGGAATGGGATGAAGGCCAGATACGTATTTCACAAGTTCACACTTAACCATATTGGTTGGGAGAGAAATGGCTGGCATCAAGTGTAGGTAAGTAACAGACTCTTCTACAACAGAGACCCCATAAACCAGTCATTTGGGCAAGAGCAGCAACTTCCTGGAGCCTGAGAGGCTTGTGTGGGGCCCAGCCAATGCTGTAGGAAGGGGAGCCGCCCTGCCAGTACCACCTGGCTGCTTTCAGCCCGGATTTGGCCCCCTCTGGCTTGCCTAGTTTATCAAGGCTGTTCTGAAGCCTTGTCAGCCTCTTATTCTCCTCATAGAACTATTCCTTACCGTTCACCCCATTTTATAACTTAAGTTTCTTGTTTCTGTTTTGCCCTTCTCCCATATCTAATTTTATGCCCTCCACTGTTTTCCTTGTTTTGAAATTTTTCAAAGCTATAGAAAATTGAAATACACTACAGAGAACATCCTTCTACCTTTCACTTACGTTGTTGTTAAAACATACACATTCGCTTTCTTTAGATATACACACTTTTTTTTTTTTTTTAAGAAATCTCCCCCAATGGTTTAAAGCCATGTTGTAGTACTTTCTTCTCTACTCTCCTCCCAGGATCCTGTAACTTAAAAACATGGGTCCGGTGTGAGTTACAAGACACCAGATCCAGGACTCAAACCATGGTCTAGCGCCTTAACCACTATACCACATATTGCCCCATTGATTTTGTGGAAACATTTGATAGACATGCAGACATTGTGACACTTGACCTGTGGATACTTTAGTATGCATTTCCTAAGAATAAGGATACTCAGGGCCAGCAGGTGGTGTGGTTACGGTGCTGGACTCCCACATGGCTGACCACAGTGTGAGTCCCAGACTGGGCAGCATGAAAATCATGTGAGGGGCATGTGCCTATGTACCCAAAATCCCAGGAGGAAAATGGAGAAGGGATTATGGCATGGCTAGCCCCCCTCCCCCCCAGGAAATGATTTCTCACTTGCCTTCTGTCTCTCGCCAGTGAGTGTACACACCCTATGGCAAAAAAAACGTTTAAAAAAATGTTAAAATCTTTATGCAGTCTTACATGTTTTAAAGTTTTTTTTTTTCCTAATAGAAAGCATATGCATGCAGATGAGGGTGGGGATTTCATCGCAAGGCAATTCCCTTTCCCTAGGCCTCCTGCTCCTCAAGATCCTAGCTGTGTCTACATAGCCTAGCACATTTCAGGCTGACCAGGGATTTGAGCCTGCAGTTGGCCACATGGCTTCCAGCACTGCATTTCAGTTCGCCACCAACTGTGTCATCACTGTTATGGTTCTTGGTGACAAACCTAGCTCATATGGCTTAGGAAAAGGACTTGCAAAAGAGGATACATTTTCCCCAAGAGTTCCAGTAAAAGTACCAGTTAAGGCTTTTATTAGCTTGTCACCCTTACCACCACAAACAGGTAAACATGACAACCATTAGCATCTAAGACTTATGCTAGTTCATTCCATTCATTGTGAGCCTGGGGCTTTAGGGCAAATATTCAAACAGCATGTTGACAGACCACCTACCTAGCAAGGTTTTGACCTCTTGCACTGTGCCAGGTAAATGCTACTTAAATAATAATTTAAAAAAAAAAAAAAAAAAAAAAAAGTACCTTTCTAGGGCTCCAGCCTTGAGGATGTGCTCTGCATGCTCTGCAGTTGGGTCCTGCAATCAGTCCCGAATCTGACATCCGCCAGCCACTGTGCCAAATTATGTGCATTGTACTGTCAGCACCTTACCACATCCTGTCCCCCTCCCCACACACACACACACACTTTAGCCAGGAGAGCAATCTTAGGCTCAGAGAAATTGAGTGACTTAGTGTCACAGGCCTCTTGATGCCTGAGGCTACAATTTCAGAACCCAGATTTGCCTGACACTAAAGTCTAGTCTCTAGATATTGATACTTCCCTGGTATTGACAACACAGAAAAGAACTACTTTATTTTGTTTTCACTTTTTTCCCTTGGTCTCACCATGTGTCTGAAGGGCACTAATTTGTGTTTGTGAGTTCCTTTTTTAAACTTTGAACCTTGGCATTTGTGTATTGGCTTTATAAACTCTTTATTAATAAAGTTAATTTGTTAATTGTTTTAATTTAAAATAAATGTATTACTTCTTCCGTGAAAGACAGACAGGTATCCGCAAAAGGGCTCTCACATGGTGATCCATCCCACATGGTGATCCTTCCCAACCTCTGCCAGCCTAGATCACAGGTGTGCACGCATGCAGTGTATATAGGGAAGCTCCAAAATGCAACCTGGGACCTACCCATATGAGTCTAATAGTGTTACCACCATGTCTGGCCCTATGTGTTTATTGATTGACCATTTAAAAAAAATATAATTGCCAGAGGGCACATATTCTTGCCAGAGAAAGGACCCCCCAATGAAGCATGGTTGAACTGGACAAATGGAAGACAAGGCTGGGACCAGGCTGAAGGTAGGTCTCCCAGGCCACCCTCTGAGGGAACTGCCTACAACAGACACGCAGATCCCTGTAGGTATCCGTGGGATACAACTACATGCACACGATTCCATTTATTCTGGTCTCCAATTCACACACACTGGACTACCACATGGCCAGCTTGCAGCCTACCTATCATGGCACACCTCTCTCAAGGAACATTCCAGCAACTTCTTGGAGCAGAAAGGCCTTTGCTACTGTTTGAACACTCAAATCCCAAATGGCATTCAGTGAATTGTTTGAATGTGTGTAATCCAGTGAATCTGTTTTCCTCATATTGGCTCCTTCACGTTTTAAAGTGGCGAGAGTGATGCAAATGGGCCATTTCACTGCAGGTGTATAGTTAAAATATTGGCAAAGTGGTCATGTTAGTGGCAGTACTCTGAAGACTTTCTCCTAGGCAGAAATAAGCACATTTGTATCAAAATATGCAGGTGCCATGGGTTAAAATAGCCAGGAAACTTAGGGAATATCACCCAAATACCCTAGATGTTAACCTATGGTACACTGCAGTCAAGGAGTCACATACAGTGGTTGGTTCTTCACTGGATATCCAGTGCTTAACAAGCACTCAAGTTATTTGTTGAATGCATGCAGTTATAAAAAGAATGAGGGAACTCCTAAGTGCCCATTTGGCAATTTTCCAAGATACCTTGTTCAATATTTAAAAAAAAAAAAAAAAAAGTACTGTAATACTGAATGTTTTGTATTATTGAAAACAATGAATATCTGCTAATATTCTTGGAATAACTCTTGACACAAAGGAACCAGCAACTGTGGGTACCTCCAAGAAAGGAGGGAAGCATGTATGAGTGACGCCCAACCTCAGAACTAACTCCTGTCCTACCACCTTATCCCTCAGCCATGAGACTGTCAACTGAGGGTGCCTCAGCTTAGTCCTTCCACCTCTGATAGACCCTTAGTTCCCCTCCCTCCAACAAAATACAAGTTTCAGGAAAAGAACAGCCATTATTTTGACAACTTTCAAATCTCAGTAAGAGCTAGGTAATATGAGGGAACTTCAAAAAAATTCATGGGAAGAGCTGGTCCCATTAGGTGGTTAAGGGAGCTGGATATCATATGGCCGACTGCACAGTTGGACTCTCCAGCAGCTTTAAAAGCACACTAGGCACATGGCACGTTTACCCCAAATCCTAAAGGGATGGAGAAATGGAGAAACACCTGCAATGTGACCATTCCCATTGGGGGGACGGTACCTTCTCCCTCTCCTCCTCTCTTTGGGGAGTGTACCCTCTGGCAAAAAAAAAAAAAAAAAAAACACAGTTCATGGAAAAATGGAACTAAAGAACGAGTTTATTTTGGTATAAAAATGTTTGAAATTCAGAGCCAGCCAATGGCATGGTGGTTAAGGCTGCTGGATCCCGGATGGCCAGCTGCACCACTCAAGTCCTGGACCTGGTGGCTTGAAAAAAACATGCCCGGGCATATGCATGCATCCAAGTCTCCATGAGACTGTGGCATGGGCATTCCTCCTGGGAGATAATTCCTCACTTTCCCTTTCTGTCTGTCTCTGGTGAGCACAGGCACCCTATAACTAAAAAAATACTTTTGAAATCAGCAACTGATGTGGGTGGGGTGGCTGGATCCTACATATCTGATTGTGTGGTTTGAGTCCCAGACCTGGCGGCCTAAAAACATATCTGGAGGACCAGCAGGTGGCATGATGGTTAAAGTGCTGGACACTCCCACACAGTCAACCACAGTTTGAGTCTCAGACCTGGTGGCTTGCTTTTTTCACTTGCCCTCTCTATGTCTCTCTGGTCAAATTAAAATAAAGTTAAATAAAATAATTCTTTTAAAAAAAAAAATGCTTGGGCATGTGTGTGTACTCCAAATCCCGACAACAGAGAAGGGACTGCAGCATATTCATCCCCCCTGGAGGGATGCTTTCTCATATATCCATCACCCTTGTCTCACTGGCAAGCACATGCATCCTATAGGAAATTTTTTTAAAAGCTGAAATTTTTTGCAGTTTTGTCATAATATGCATTTTTCCATACATTTTTGAAGATCCTTGTACATGCTATCTTCATTAACCCCAAGAATTAACAATGCTAAGAATAAAAGGGGCAGAATCAATACTTACTGATGTGTGACAATGTCAAGATTGACCATTTAGAAGGAAATGGAATGCCCATTTTCCAATATTATTAAATTATTTTAATTTGGAAAGGAATGCTTAGGATAGAGATAAAAAATTAGTCCCACGTGTCCGTGAGCATGGAGCAAAAAGAAAAAAAAATCAAGTCAAAAGTCCTTTCATCATGAATACATTCATTCCTCATGCTGAAGGCAGGGGAGGGAAACTTACTAAAGTTCACTGCTAGAAAAGCCATTACTTTTTTTTAAAAAAAGAGATCTTTGCTATAGGGCACATGTGCTAACTGGAGAGATGGAGAGAAAGCGAGAAATCACTCCCCAGAGGGGATGGCCACACCACAATCCCTTCTCCCTCATTCTCCTCTCAGGATCTTGGATCTTGGGCATGCACACACGCACCCGGCATGAGTTTCAAGTCACAAGGTTCAAGACTCGAACCAGTTGACTAAGTGGAAGTCCAGTGACGTAACCATTAAGCCATCTGCTGGTCTCAAAAAAGTCATTACTTTTGATATGCATAAATAGCAATGACAAATCCAATGAATCTTTAAAAATATTAAGCAGTGTGACTATAAAAAGATACGGTGGTTAAGGTGACTGGATTCCCCCAGTCAACTGTACAGTTTGAGATCTAAACCTGACTCTGGCATTGCCCTCTCCTCCCTCTTTGACTGGTGAACACATACACCCTGCAGTAAATTAAAAAATAATTTTAAAAAACTTTTAAAAAATACACTGTATAGACATAATTGAAAAACTGAAGACTGAGGAAGATGTAGGTTTTATAGATTTATTTTCGAGGGATAAAACACTTAGACAACTTAAATACAAGTCCAACAGAATTACTCTGTCAGTCGGCAATAATGCCAAAATGTGTTCTCACTTCCAGACACTTGTCAGCATCATCAGCCTTCTCTCAGTGAAGAAAAGGGCTCTGGCAAAGACAAAAGAAGTTCAGTGTTTCTTCTTAGCATACTATTATCAGCTGTAAGTGATAGCTTTAAGGTGCTAAATCCACGGTAATGAAGTTATAAACACTAAAACAGGGTTTTCATAGGGTCTGAACAACAGCTATTATTTATTAAGAGGCTTTACATCAGTCATTGTATTAAGCAATATACACACATCGTGCAATTTATCTTCACAGAAGCCCCAAGCAGAGGACCTAACATTAGCTCTATTTTACTTGTGAGGAAACTGAGGCTTATCGACCTAAGCAGCCTGCCTGAGAGGCTTATAGAATGTGCCAGAAGAAGCTGAGAACATATGTAGGTGTCTCTGATTCCAAAGTTACCCTCTTACCCACGAGGCCTTTTGCCTAGGGGAGAGTCAGACCATTTTAGTCTCTTGCACAACATAAGAGGCTGCCTTGATGGGTAACTGAAGGACACACAGGTGGTTTCTGGATTACCCTGCTCAGTGTTTTGTACAAGACTATTTTTATGAGGAGGGACAATTCAGGGAGTCCTGTCTGGGAATGAACTGCTTGCTTGCAGCCTTGCTTGAGGGTAAAGATCAGCATGAGGGCTGGTCCCTTTGAATGGCAAATCATTCAGAAGGGCCTTAAATTTTCTAATAGTAAAAACCTCTTGTCAAGTATTTCAATTTTTTCATTTCTTATTGAATCTTCCTTTGCTGAAGAACAGACAGATAAATTCTCATTGGAGATCGTTTTATAAGTCAAATTATTTACCTGGTATTTTATTCATAAACATCCTTCTTATCTGCAATGTAATCTACAATTTCTTGAGGACACATTAACTTTTCTGCATCTGTATCAGGAATTTCAAATCCTAAAAGAAAAATTTGCCATGTGTGAATATGGAAAAAGCAAATCCTTTAGAACTGAAAGCACCCAACCCTTCTGTAACACCTACAATATCAAACATTTCCAACAACCTTGGATCCCATTTAAGTTGGAGCCAGTGAGATTCTAGACAGTATACAAGGGTGACTTCAATAAGCATGGAAAAATGGAATGAAAGTGCAAGTTTGTTTCAGTAGAAAAATGTTTTGAAATCCACACATAGTTTTATTTCACAATGCTTTCCATTACTTGTTGAAGACCTTTCATATATATCAGATTGAGTATTACGACTGGATTTTTTAGATAGAAATTTGCGTAACAGAAAATTCCTCTAAAAACCACACATTTCAATAGTATGGTTTCACAAGGTTGTGCAGCCATCACTATCTAACTTTAAAACATCTTCATCACCTTTAAAAGAAACCCAGTTCCCATTAGCAGTCATTCCTCATAATCTCCACCCCTAGTAACCACTAATCTAAACTTTCTATTTCTGGATTTGCCTCTTGACATTTCATATAAATGGAATCATACAACGTATGGTCTTTTATAGCTGGTTTCTTTCACCTAACATGTTCTCAAGGCTCATCCATGTTGTAGCATGATAAGACTTCATTCCTTTTTAAGAATGGTTGGGTTTTGATAGTTGACATTTACTGAGTACTTTCTTTGGGCCCAAACACTTTTTTTTTAAAAAAAAGAATTATTTAACTATTTGTTTTTCTTTAGGTTGATTAGAAAGAGAGGGAAAGTGAGAAAGCAAGCTGCCTGGTCCAGGACTCAAACTGCAGTCAGCCACTTGGGAGTTCAGTGCCCTTAACCACCATGCCACCTGCTAGCCCCTGTGTTGAACATTTTACATATAGTTTCTCTTTAATTCTCACAGCAGTCCCAATCCTGAGGGTCTTACTATTATCACCCTTATTTCACAGCTGAGAAAATGGGCTTTAGTTACTTGTCCAGCTTCTACATGGCTAAGGCCAATTCCAGACCTGGTACTAGGCAGGCAGTATAATCCTTCTAGTCAGCATCATCTGTGAGAAATTTTAACAGCCCTGCTCTCTAGGATGGCACAGAAATCCTGTTAATACCACTCACTTAGAAAGGGCCATGGAGTCTCATAAAGATTTCATTTGGACAATAAACTGTCCTGAACAAAGGATAACTTGCAGTGTGCCAGTGAGACATGGGAGACCAAGACCAGAGGGCTATCTGTGCAAACACGCAACCTGTCTTCAGCACACCATTACTTCTCCCTAGCTCATGGTACCCAAACTCATGAAGGTGCTAAAGTGTCATCAGCATCTCCACCAGCATCTGCCTTTGTGGGACCCCTAAGAATCTAAGACCCAAGACCAGCAGATGGTGTAATGACTACATTGCTGGACTTCCACAGACGTGACTGCAGTTCAAGTCCTGAACCTGGATGCATGCTTTCTCTTTCTCTTTCTCTCTCCCTCTCTGGTCAAATTAAAATAAAAAAAAAAAATGGATAAAGTTAAAAAAAATAATTCAAAAAAAAAAAAAAAAAAGAACCTAAGTCTCGGGACCAGCAGATGGTGTAATGGCTATGTCGCTGGAATCCACCGCCGTTTGAGTCCCAGACTCAAACCTTAAAACTCATGCCAGGCACATGTATATGCGTGTGTACAAAATCCTGAAAAGAGATTGCAGTGTGGCCATCCCCCCTGGAGGGTGATTTCTGGCTTTCTATCTTTGTCTCTATTGTGAGCACATGTGCCCTATAGCAAAAATCTCTCTTAAAAAAATTAAAAAAAAAAAAAGAAAATGTAAGTGCCACACTTCCCCCAGACCTTTCCTGGTCATTCAGTCCTCAGCACCACACTGGGCACTCTGCTATGTCTGTACTAAGTGCTATCTGTCCCTAATATTTACTTCACCTTATATGAGTGGGTAGGAAGATGGGGGGCAAGAACCAGATGCTACTGTACCTATTAATATTTGATTCCTATTCTAATTCAGACTCCCACTGCAATCCACCTAAATCACGAACCACAAGATGCAGATACAAGACTAAGTCTGTGTGTGTTACCAAATTCATCTTCCATGGCCATGATAATCTCCACTTGGTCCAAACTGTCTAAGCCCAGGTCTTTCATAAAGTGGGAATTTACAGAGAGCTGTAAGAAAAGAACACAACATTTAAAATCTCTCTTAAAAAAATTAAAAAAAAAAAAAGAAAATGTAAGTGCCACACTTCCCCCAGACCTTTCCTGGTCATTCAGTCCTCAGCACCACACTGGGCACTCTGCTATGTCTGTACTAAGTGCTATCTGTCCCTAATATTTACTTCACCTTATATGAGTGGGTAGGAAGATGGGGGGCAAGAACCAGATGCTACTGTACCTATTAATATTTGATTCCTATTCTAATTCAGACTCCCACTGCAATCCACCTAAATCACGAACCACAAGATGCAGATACAAGACTAAGTCTGTGTGTGTTACCAAATTCATCTTCCATGGCCATGATAATCTCCACTTGGTCCAAACTGTCTAAGCCCAGGTCTTTCATAAAGTGGGAATTTACAGAGAGCTGTAAGAAAAGAACACAACATTTAGTCCATGAAAGCATTTCTGTCCTAAGATAACAGAATGGTACACGGCTACTTAATCGTTACATAGATTTTTTTTTTTTTAAATATAATATAGGGGATTAGCGGGTGGCTTGGGGGTTAAGGTGCTAGACACTCCCACATGGCCAACCATGGTTCAAATCCCAGACCTTGTGGCTTGCAGCTTGCTCTCTCACTTTCTCTCCCTCTCTGTGTTTCTTTGGTCAAATTAAACTAAGTGAACAAACAATTTAAAAACAAACAAACAAAAATGTTTAAAACAGTTGTAACTAACACTATATATTTTAACATATGCTGACATGTACCTGACCTGCTTTACGTACCATCTTACTCAGTTCTGTTTTGAAGTGGTTAAAGGCAATAGAAGATTTCACTTTCTATATTTTACTAAAATCTTTGATCACTGCTCTGAAGAACACCTAAGAGAGTTTGTTTTTTCTTGCCACCTTATTGACACCTAAGACCCCACACTAAGAAGTGCCATTTCCCACTCTAAAGAACAGCAGACTACTGAAAACTGCAGGCAGCTTCATATTACAGTGTTTATTATCACCCTGTCTTTAATTTAGAGTTCATGATCACCAGAGAGAATTCTTCCAATCCCATTATCAAAAGCAAACTACCCTCCCACACAACAGGTTCAATTGTTCTAAAGTTCTTTATGTACCACTATGAGAAAAATTCTAAGAGCTGTTAAGTTAAAATGAAGGGGCAAAACACTGTTTACAGTATACTACCTCTTATATTTAATGCATACAACTTACATACATGTGGGCAAATATACATATGTACTGAGGATCTCTGGAAAGATGCATAAGGAGCTGGTGACACTGGCTGTTTTCCAGAGGGAAACAGGGTGACAGGGAGCCAGGGGGACTTTTATTGCATATCTTTTTGGATCCTTTAAACTTTGTACCATGTGATAAAATACCCTAAAGGAAAAAATGTAAAATACCAATTACCTTTTCTGGATCAATCTTGTCATAGAGTTTGAGGACGTAAAGAACACGGTCCTTGATGCCCTCTAACGTCAAAGGGGGCGCGTCACTGTACTGGCGGCACAGCTGTGTAGCTATACCTGGAACCTGAACATGGGCAGGAAGGAAACATTGTCACTGAACCCAAATGCCTCTAAGTAAATGCACAAGCCTTTGGAAATCTTCCGAAAATTTGAAGGGCTGGGCCAGCCAATGGCCTGGTAGCTAAAGGAACTGGATCCCACATGGCCAACCATGAGGTTCAAGTCCTGGACCCTGCAGCCAGGGACACGTGCATGTGTACTCAAAATTCCAAAAAGGAGAAAGAAATGGAGAAGAGATCGTGGCATGACCATTCCCCAGGAATGGTGCTGTCTTCCTCTCCCTCTGTCTGGTGAGTGGATGTGCCTCTGGCAAATAAAACAGAACAAAGAACATGGGACCAGCAGATGGCATAATGGTTTACCTCACTGGACTTCCACATCACTGGACTGCGGTTCGAGTCCTGGACCCAGCAGTGTAAAACTAATGCCTGGTGTGTGTGTGTGTGTGCCCAAAATCCTAGAGAAGGGATTGCTGCATGACCATTCCCCCTAGGGAGTAATTTCTCACTTTCTGTCTGTCTCTCTCAAAAAAAGGACAAACAGCAAACTTTTGTCTTCCACATGGCTGACTGCATAGTTTGAGTCCTGGACCTGATGGCTTGAAAAATATGCCAGATACGTGTGTGCATGCCCAGAATCCTAAAAGAAGAATGGAGTAAAAGGACCTGCAGTGCAGCCGTCTCCCCTGGAGTGGGGGGTGCTTTTTCTCTCTGTCCAGAAAATGCATACCCTATCCCCCCCCAAAATTTTTTTTAAAAAGCCTTTCTTTCTTTCTCTCCTGACCAAGGGAGACAGAAACAGACAGAGGCAGGCACCTCCCACAGTGTCTTTACATTGTGATCCAATTCCAGCTTCAGCCACATCATGGGCGCATGTGTGCCTGGCATGTTCAGGGAAGTCTCCAGACACAAACACGTAACCCTTCCACGTGGGTCAGCCTAAAAGAGCATTGCGATCAACTGTGCCATTGTCCAGCCCCAAGTTCATGGAATTTCTCAAGAATATTTCTGGGGAACCAGCAGGTAGTGTGGTGGTTAAGGTGCTAGACACTCCCACATGGCTAACCACGGTTCAAATCCCCAACCTGGTGGCTTGCTTTCTCACTTTCTCTCTCTCTCTCTGTGTCTCTCTCTGGTCAAATTAAAATAAAATGAATGAATATTTTTAAAAATCAAAAAAGAATATTTCTGTGTGCTTTCAGGAATTTTAGAACATTTTTCCTTCTTATCCCAATTTGTGGTCTCTTTCCCTGCCAATTTGTGGTCTCTGTCCCTTTCTGATTATTGCATGGGTTGAGGAACCTTGGAAATGAGCATATATATCACCAGGCCTACCTATCAACAATGACTAGGAAAGGTTTTCATGTCACAAATAAAAGGGCCCAAGAGGAAAGGAAGGCGCTGGCAAGGTATGTTCCTACGTACTTACCCTGTGGCCCACTAGGTGTCAGCACCATCCCCAGTAGCACCTGCAGTTGCTTCCAGGGGCCAGATAGGTACCATGTGATTAGGTCAGGTTAGCTTAAAGGGGTTTCCATTTGAAGGCCACTTGCCAATTCTCGATCCTGGGAAGTAGGCTGCCTACCTCTGCCCCATGGCACTGGTTCTTAGTAGATGTTTGGCCTTGGACAAGTTACTTACCTTTCTATGCTTTAGTTTCCTTATCTGTGAAATGGAGACAGACAATAGTACCACACTCACAGGGCTGTGAGACATCAATGTCATGGGCACTGCCTGAACATACACTGGAAGTGCTATGTGGGGTATTAAAGTAAGATCATGGTAATCAACTGCCAGTTTGACATCCCGGCTGTATTGCAGCCCCAGAATACCTGCTGCTATTCCTTCTTTTTCATGCCAACCCTCTAGTTTCTTTATTGATTTCTTTTAATAAATTTAGGCCATGGTACTGCCTTAAGCAATTTATATACATCATCTCCTACAGCTGTGACAGCACATCTGTGAGATACGTAATACTATCTTCCACCCCTTTCTCAAATGAAGAAACTAAGACAGAGAGAGATTAGGTATTCTGCTCCAGGTCTCCCAGCATGGCCTCCTGGAGGATCTTGCTGCTCCCTCTCCAGCCACTTAAAAAAAAAAAAAACGTGTTGGGGGGTTGGGGATCAGCAGTAGCATAATGGCTATGTTGTTGGACTCCCATGCAGTCGACTGCGGTTCGAATCCTGGACCCGGTGGCTTAAACTCACACTGGGCGCGTGTGCGTGCATGCCCAAGATCCCCAGAGGAGAATGGAGGAGAAGGGATTGCGGCATGTCATCCCCCCGGGGGGTGACTTCTTGCTTTCTGTCTCTGTCTTTTTGGCAAGTGCACGCATCCTATAGCAAAAACCTCTCCAAAAAAACAGGGGGTCAGATATACAGAATGGGCAAGCACCTCCCAAAAGCCAACACGGGTTGGTCCCGGTGTTGATTGGCCTTCTTCAAGATAAACTCTTACCAATTACAAGCAGACGTCAGAGAAGGCACTGTTTTACAGGAAAAGGGGAACAACCCTCTGGACTAGTAACTCAAACAGATTCGTTTCCTTCAGAATCCATTTTACTCCACTAGGGTAAATGTCTGCCTCAGGGAAACTGAGAGGAAGCTAAGAAAGTAGCTTTAAAGGCCATCTCTACCAACAGCTCTACCAGGTAGCCCTGACATCTCCAACTTAACTGGAAATGAACTCCTTAGCTGTCTCCAAAGGCTCATACGCCTCTATTCCTGCTCTACCACCTGGGACTCTGGCCAACTCCTCTTCCCATTCTCTCACTATGATGTCTACTTGGTCACCCAGCCTGGCTAATTGGGAGGAAAGGTCTCATTTATTCCTTCCACAAACTATGCTTAATGTTCACTCCCTATGAACTCAGCAGAGAACACTCACACTCCCCAGTGCGATGTAGCATGCCAGCCTCACCTCAACTCCTCCTTCCATAGACACTCAGAGTCAACCTAAGGAAGTATAAGCTTCTGGTCTTTGCACAGGCCTTCAGGGCCATGCTCCCTGGGAGCTTAGCTAAGTCCCTCTTCTTGCGTCTGCACTGCACACACACCTGTCCTCACACACTGCAGTGTCTTATCTTTGTGTATATGACCATCTCACCAACATGCAAGCTTTACCTATGTGCCCAGCCCTGGGCAATGGACTGGAAATAGAAAGATGTATAAGACATGACCTTCACCTAACAGTTTAATGGAAAAGACCAATCCAAACAGGTTATTTCGTTGTGATAAAAATGTGCCAAGAGACATGAGAGGTATCTGTAGGCTATTTCAGTAACAAAAGCTGTCATTCAAGCCTAGCAGCAGTGGTGCAGATGGCAAAGTGGCACTGCATGAGGCTGGGGCCATGTGGGAAGTTGGGTTTGGGTCATGGACCAAATTGAACAGGTTGAGCACAGGAGCATGCACCTGTAACCCTAGCTGACTGGAAAGCTGGGGCAGAAAATCCCGACAGTAAGATCTGTCAAAAATACTGGCCTGGGGACAAGCAGATGGCATGATGGTTATGTCACTGGACCCCCATGTAGTCAACCACAATTTGAGACCCGCACTAGGGAGCTTAAAAAACTCAGGCTGGGCGTATGTGCGTGGCTGCCCAAAATCCTGAGAGAATGAAGAAGAAGGGATTGCAGGGACCAGCAGTTAAGTGTAATGGCTATGTTGCTGAACTCCCATGTGCTGAACTTGACTACAGTTCGAGTCCTGGACCCGGTGGCTTAAACTCACGCTGGGCGCATGTGCGTGCGTGCCCAAGATCCCAAAAGGAGAATGGAGAAGAAGGGATTGTGGCGTGGCCATCCCCCCTGGGGGGTGATTTCTCACTTTCTGTCTCTCTGGCGAGCACACGTGCCCTATAGCAAAAACCACTCAAAAAAAAGATTGCAGTGTGGCCATCCCCTCTGGGGGGTGATTTCTCACTTTCTATCTCTATTTCTCTAAATGAGAGCCCATGCCCTATAGCAAAAATCTCTCTTAAAAAAGAAAAAATACTGGTGTCTCTCACATTAAAAAAAAAAAAAAAAAAAGTTAACATTCGGTCCGTTTTAGGAAATATCAGACTGCTGAGTTAGCCAGGAAAGGAATGGAGATGGATTGTTCAAAGAGAGGCCAAGAACAAAATGCGGCATGATTTTTTTAGAAATTAGCTCAGGTTGCTGGAGACTGATGGCAAGGTGGCACACAGACTATAGGCACTGAGGCTGAGAGGCAGGACTCAGGCCTGCAGAGCCTTGAGGGCCACGGTGAAGGACTGGCGCTTTGTCTTACGGGGCTGAATGATATGGACAGACCTTTGTTGCAGCCCTGAGTCCATCAGAGTATGGATCAGTCTGGCTCCAGTACTAGGACTAGCTGAGCCTTTCCTGCACAAGTGCTCATCTTCTCAAGCCCTAGAGAACTGTTAGGAAATTCTCCCTGGGGCCTGCCTGGATCAAGTATAAGACATCCAGGCTCCACTTTAGGTCACTACCCTTGATATTCTTACCTCTATTTTCCTTTTCTTTCTTGTTTAAGGTGGTTTTTTTTGTTTTGTTTTGTTTTTTCTGTAGGTGTGTGTCCAAGAGGAGAGAGAAAGCGAAACAGGGACTTACTAAATCAGAACCTGCCATTTAAACCAGGTGATCTGTGTGCACAACTAAGTTTGAGAATCAATGCTACAAGAATAGGGCCTATCACTTTGCATCTTAGCATAATGTTGAAATCAATCTCAGATGCCAAGCACTTAGCAACTCTCTCTTTTGAGAGGCAAAGGAGGAGGTGACAGACTCGTCTTTTTTTTTTCCTGTTTAAAAAATTAACTGCCAGAGGGCATGTGCATGAGAGACAGAGAAAAGGAAAGTACCCCTCAATGGGGCCTGGTCATGCTGCAATCCCTTCTCCATTTCTCCTTCCTGCCAAAATTTGGAGCATGCATGAACACACACACATGGCATTTTCCAAGTCACTGGAGCTAGGATTCAAACCATGGTCCATAACGTGAGATCTAGTTCCCTTTCACTAGGCTACAGGCCGGTCTTGACTTACCTCTTAACCTTTAACTTCAAGGTGACACTTTTAATATATCCAATAGGACAATGCCCTGTGAGTGAGTCATTAGTGAATCTCAACACTGGCTGCACAAAAGAATCACTTCATGACTTTGAAAAAGTAATCCAGACTCACTCTCAAGATTCTGAGTTATCCTGAGCATTCTTATTTTTTATTCTACTATGTATTCAAGGTTGAAACCACTATTACATGAAATCTAAGAGTCTGAAAAGTGGTATCATGGCTTGAGCTTGGCAGACTATCCTAATTTAACACAGTAAATCTTCATCTTGGTTGCAATTCAGAATCACCTGAAGACAAAATTAAAAAGCATGGATCAGCAGGTGGCTTGGCAAGCTAAGGTATGAGTCCCAGACCATCTGTCTGAAAACTACCACGGAAAGAGGTGTTGGGGGGAAGAGGGTACACCAACGGAACTTTTGAACGTGCAGCTAGGGATGAAAATCACTGAGTTTCAGCCTCCTACAGGTTTCATCAAATAACAAGGCCGCACACTACTTCTAGCCTTTTAATTCCAGGAGGCCCAGAAACCGGAAAAGGTGCCACAGCGTTAAATTAAGACAGAAACCCAGGGAGAAAACTGCTCTGAGAAGGCTGTAGACCAGGATGGCTTCTAGAAAGCGATCACGCTGCTCATCACTACAGCTAACGGCGACTAGTACACTGAGCCTACCACGCTCCGCAGGTGCATGCCTGCTTCTCCCGTCTAAATCTCGTCGCCGTTTCATCGTATACAAACTAGTCTCCCAATTTTGCCACTCAGTTTGAGGCTTAGCGAAGTTGAGACTCGCCCAAAGTCTTGGTAAATGGCAGCTAGCATCCGACCACAAGGTGCTTGCCTCGAGTTTGGGCTCTGACTCGCAATCACTAGGTCACCCAGCCTCTCGGTAGGGGTCAACCAAACGTTGTAGGGCCACAGGACTGGGGAGCACGTCAGATGCCCCCCAGGTCACCCCGCCTGCAGCAGGCGCCGCCTGGCCCCTCCCCCCGACTCTCAGCAGGCCGGCTCCCTGACCCCTGCCAAGCCCCAGCAAAGTCACGCGAGTCACCTGAGCGAGCACCAAGGACGACTGCGGAGCCCCGGGCTTCGTCCTGGCTCCCGCGGAGCACAGAGCGGCGCTGAGCGTTCGGACCGCGGCCACCGTGGGCACCCGGGGCAGCGGCGACGGGCGGCGAACACAGGCGAAAAGGCCACGAGCCGCCATGGCTACGCCGACCCAGCGTGCACTGCGAGGAGGCCTCCCGCCAGGTGTTTCCTCCGCTGCGCTCAGGCGACGCACAGAGCGGCGCTGCCGGGCGCCGCGGGCGGTGGCGGCCCCTGGCGGCTCCTGCCGGCACCGCGCCTGGCCCACTAAATAAATTGGAAGCAAATGGCTACTACCCTTTGTAAAACTGCGTCGATGCAAACGTTCTGATCACAAGAAAGGAACTTATTTTTGCTTCCTCTCCCAAAGTTCTGAAACACATTTATTTAAAAGTCTTGATGCCCGGGTATTAACATTTGTTTATGGGTCAAAAACTGTACAGTACAAAATAAGAAAGAATGTGTACCTTCTGCTTATAAAGCAGTTACACAAGCAATTTTATCACCCATTTGGAATAATCAGTGAGTAGATAGCCAAGCTCCAAAGAAAGCAGTAGTCTTCGATTCCTGAAGAAAACTGGCACCAAAAATCTGGGGTTCTAGGACCTGGGCCTTTAAGATCTGCTTGTCACTGTTGACACACCAGCCTTGGATTACTCCTTCCTAGTCACCCTCGGGCGGGTGCACAGGACAATCCCATGATGGGGAAGACGCAGGCACACAGAGGTAGTGCTCAGGGAGGGAGAGCCCAACAGCCTTCTAACCCACACTTCAGGTCTTCTCTCCCATGACCTAGCCAGTGTTTCTGTTACATCTAATCTTTTTGGTTGAACAAAATAAGTGATCTCTTATTTAAATGATACAATTTGGGAGAGCTACTTTTCCCTTCAGCAAGCACATAAAGAGAAAATGTCAGCCTACATGGTCTGTAGGTAAGAAATCCAAAGCTTAGTTTGAGATCAAGTCCTTAGCAGCTGGGGACTACTTAACAGGGAACATGGGCTTTTTGGTAACACTCCCATCAGAGGGAGTAAGCCTAAATGGTGTCAGCTTCCTACATACACTGCCCCACCAACCACCAGTTACCCTTCTTCCTTCCAGCCCATTTGCACTAAAGTCTCATTCCCCAGCTCCCTCTGGGATCTTGTGTGGCCAGTTCTTTTCTCTCTTCGTCTTTTTTTTTCAAGAAAGATTTTTTTTGGGGGGGAGGGGCTATAGGGTGTGTATGTTCACTAGAGAGACAAAAACAGAGAGACAAGAAAGAAATTACCCTTCAGAGGGGCTGGTAACGCCACAATCCCTTCTTTTCCATTCTCCTCTCAGGATTTTGGGCATGCACGCACACATGCCCAGTGTGAGCTTCAAGCTGCCAGGTCAAGAACTCAAACTGTAGTTGGCCATGTGGGAGCCCAGTGCCTTAAGCACTATGCTATCTACTGGTCCCCTCCTTTGATGTTTATTCTCTCTTTTCTACCATTTTCCCTGAGCCCATAAGCATACCAGAGTTTTTCCTAGCTTAGAAAAATAAACCGAGGGGCCAGCAGGTAGTGTGGTGGTTGAGGTGCTGGACTCCCACATGGCTGACTACGGTTCAAGTCCTGAACCTGGTGGCTTACTTTCTCACTCTTCCTTTCTCTTTGTCTGTCTCTCTCTGGTCAAAATTGAATAATACTGATAATAAATATAATTAAAAATAAATAAATCTTTAAAATAAATCAAATAAACCAAGGGGGCCAGCAGGTGGTGTGGTGGTTAAGGTGCTAGACTTCCACATGAGTGATTGCAGTTCGAACCCTGGACCCGGCAGCATAAAAATCACGCTGGGTGCATGTGCTCAGATCCAGAGTCCCAGGAAAAGAATAGAGGAGAAAGGACTGCAGTGTAGTCATTCCCCCTGGAGGTAGCGTGACTTCTCACTTTCCCTCGCTGTCTGTCTCTCTCTAGAGAGCACATACTCCCTATGGCAAAAACTAAAAAAGAAAAGAAAACAAAACAGTAGGACCAGCAGGTGGCATGTTGGTTTAGGGGCTAGACTCACATGTTCAACCTCAGTTCAAATCTCAGAACTAGTGGGGACCAGCAGTTGCCATAATGGCTATGTCACTAGACTCCCATGTAGTTGATCATGGTTCAAGTTCCAGACCTAGTAGCTTAAAACTACACACATGCACCCTATAGCAAAAACCTCTCCAAAAAAAAAAAAAAAAAAGAACTGGTGGGTGAAAACCATGCTGGGTGTGAGTGTGTATGGGGTGAAAATCATGCTGGGTGTGGGTGTGTATGGCATGTGCCCAAGGTCCAGGAAGATAACGGAGAAGGGATTGTGATGTGGCCATGCTTTCGTGGAGTGATTTCTTACACTTTCCCTCTCATTGTCTTTCTTCCTTTATGGAAAAACCTAAAAAACAAACAAACAAACAAAAACAGAGGACCTCTCCACTGACCCTTATATCTCTCTAATATTACCATTCCTCCTTCCTTTTACAGTCAAGCTTCACCCACTAAGCCAGATATGTAAGACTCCTTCATCTCCCACCTAATCAGGTATTCACTTAGTCTTGCTTATTTTTTTTAAGTCTCTCTTCAGTTCCTCTATTTCACTGCCACTGTTTCTGCCACAAGTCAAACCCTCATGGTTGTTTCTTTCTCCACTTTTGTCCTCCGTTGATCCATTATTCACTCTCTAGCTGGAGTTGAACCTTATCACTTTCTTAACACTTAAATCAAGAAAATATGTTTCCCAGGGTTCTTGAGTAAATTATATCTTTGTGATAAACCCTGTACTACAGATGATGTGCTACCAAATGAAGTATCCTACATTTGATCCTAGAGATAGTGGGTCCAGAATTAACACAAGAGAGAAAGTCTTTTATGCTATGGTTAAAAGGGAAATAATGAAGTTAACAAAAACCACCATAGTAAATATCATAAAAAATACCTTTAATGGGACCAGTAGGTGGCATGATGATTAAGGCACTGGACACATGGCTGGTCAGGGGTCAAGTCCTGGACCTGGTGGCTTGCTTTCTTACTTTCTCTCTCTCTCTCTTTCTCTCTGGTAAAATTAAAATATATGAATGAATAAATAAAATAATTCTTAAAAAAACTTTAAAAAACATACTCTAAGAATGTTAGGAACAGGCTTGCTTATAACCTACTGGTAAAGACTGCACCCTCTGACAAATGAAAAAAAAAAAAGAATGTTAGGTGTCCAGATACCAGATAGTTGACTATAGTTTGAATTCCAGCCACAATAGCTTGAAAAATATGCTGGGCATGTGTGTGCCCCAAATCACAACGGGATGGAAAAATGGAGAAGAGACTGCAGCATGATTACACCATCAGGGGAGATGCTTTCTCATTTCCCTTTATCTCCCTCTCTGTCTTTCTTTGGTAAATCCACATGCCCTCTGTCAATTAAAAAAAGAAAAAAAAGGATATTAAACAAGTAAATATTTGTAGTTTATGATAAAATTTCCAATGATACCATCAGATCTTACTCTAAAAATTTGTCTCACAAGTAATGTAGGCAAAGGTGAAGATGATGTAATCAGTAAAGTTGTGTCATTGACTCAAAAGGGACACCAGTGATAATGCAGACACTGGTATCAAGGATGCATGATAGAATAAAAAAGAACAGTATTTCTCTCTCTTTCTGTCTCTCTTTCTTTCTCTTTTTCTTACTGTTAGAGGGTGAAGGGGTTCACCAGAGAGAAAGCACCTCCCAATGTGGCACAGTCATACCACAATCCTCTTTTCCTCCATTTCTCTATTCTGTGTGGATGAAAAATATACTCTGTGTTTTTCAAACTGCTGGGGTCAGGATTCAAACTGTGGTTGACTATGTGGGATACAGTTCTCAATGCACAGGGCTTAACTGCTATGCCACCAGGCTGGCCTGGAAAAGTATTTCTAAATTAGGATATTTTTAATATGTTTTAAAATTACCTTTAATAGGTATGTGAAAATAAAGTACTACAAGTAGTATAAAAAAACATTGTTTATTGGGGCCAACAGTCGGCATGGTGGTTGAGGTGTTGGACTCCCAGATGGCTAACCACGGTTAAAGTCCAGGACCTGGCAGCTCGCTTTCTCACTTTCCCTCTCTCTTACTCTCAGTCTTTCTGGTAAAGTGCATGTGCCTTATAGTAAACTGAAAAGTAATAATGATAATAAATAAAATTGAATAAATAATTCTTTTAAAAAGATATATTGTTTATTAGTATTCTAAGTTGACTGAAATTTCTTACTGTACAAACATTATTGACAAAATATTCTAGTTGTATAATAATTACTTTATTTCCCAAAAAAACGATCTTAATAGAATGAGGAAGAAAAGGATATTCTAAGCAGAATACCTCGAAATAAATATTTATTAACATTTAAAGTTTTATGTACACCATTAAAAACAAATGTGCAAATGTGGGGAATTACAATATTTAATCCAAAGCAGCTCTTTCCCCCAAAATAAGTATAAGTGAACATTCAAGGTCAGTAGTGCCACCACCGTAAGATTAAAAAAAAAAGTTAAGTTTGTCTGGATGAATACAGTAAATATTTTAAATGTCATTCACATATTGTCAACTTATAATAACTGTCAAGTTACAACTGAAAAAATATTAAGAGGCCAAATATATCCAGAAAGCCTTTGCCTAACTTTTACCTTAACTTATGAACAGCGGTACACAAATACATTTCCATCTTTTTGTCCAGCCAGCAAATGAGAATCTGTACCTGACCATTTAACGAAAGACCAATTTTGGTCAGAGACAGGTGGAAGGAGAGCTGTGCAGTGACCTAGAAGTAAGTCCCAAACAGCAATTGCGCCAGAAGTCAAGACAGCTGCTGCGCAATGATCTTTCACATCACCTTCAAGGAACCTGATAGCAAGTAGAAGAGACAATTCAGATAACATATCAAAAACACATTTTTTTAATTAAAAACAAAACAAAACATAAAAAACAGGCCAAACCACACTCCCCAAGGCATCAATATGAACAAAATCCCCTGTGACAATCAGTGACTACATCTGTAGTCCTGGAGGACTGCTGGCTAGTGTGTTACAGTTTTAGAATGGACACACGTTCATTCTTTCTGGTCCCCTTAATGCATCTTGTACCATTTGCATACTAGTTCACGGTGGACTTCTTTCCACTCTTCATGTTAGCCAAATTCAGTGTCACCTCAGTGTCTTCCTATAGATATAGAAAGGTGCATTGAAATGCCTTTCACAGTTCTTGCTTCAGTCAGAAGTCACAAAGGATTGAACTTCATTTTGGCCACTGCTGGTCTGCTGATGGCCGCAAAAGAGAAAGCCATTGTACTTCTTAACATTCTTCTTTTTTTTTTTTTTTTTTGAGAAGTTTTTGCTAAAGGGTGTGTAGGTTCACCAAAAGGACAGAGAGACAGAAAGCAAGAAATCATCCGCCAGGGAGGATAGCAATGCCGCCATCCCTTCTCCTCCACTTTCCTCTCAGGATCTTGGGCACGCACACACATGCACCCAGCATGAATTTAAGCACTGGGTTCAGGACTCGAACCACGGTCAACTACATGGGAGTCCAGCGACAAAACCATTACATCAACTGCTGGTCCCTTAACATTCTTATGCTCTATAGTATTTCATGTTTTCCCCTCATCAAGTGACACAAAACTGTCTGTTTTTTTGGGGCCAGCAGGTGGTGTGGTGGTTAAGGGCACTAGATTCCCACCTGGCCGACTGAGGTTCAAGTCCCAGACCTGGTGGTTTGTTTTCTCACTTCCCTCCTCTCCCTTTCTTACTCTTGCTCTCTGGTCAAATTAAAATATATAAATAAAGTTAAAAATAAAATAATTCTTGGGACCAGCATTTAGCGTAATGGCTATGTCACTGGACTCCCATGTAGTTGACCACGGTTCAATTCCCGGACCTGGTGGCTTAAACATACACTGGGCGAATGTGCGTGCATGCCCAAGATCCTGACAGAATGGAGGAGAAGGGATTGCGGCATGGCTATCCCCTCCGGGGGGTGACTTCTCGCTTTCTGTCTCTTTGTCTCTGTCTTCCTGGCAAACGCACGCGCCCTATAGCAAAAAAAAAAAAAAAAAAAAAATCTTAAAAAAAAGTCTAGTTTTTGTACTTGTGCAAGACCTTTCAAAAGATCACATTCACTGAACAGAACCCATGCATACTTGCCTTCCAGCCTGCCCTTGAGGAAGGCAGTACAGCATCACACCCACATTCAGGGACGTCTTGGGATTAATGGCAATCAGCTGAAACACAGGGCTTCCCAATGATTCGCTCTCCTTGGCACAAGGATGACTCAGAACAACAAACAGGAGTCCCTAATTTAGGAGAAAAAAAATATGCAAATAGACAATCAAAAACTGGGAAAAAGAAAAGACTGGAAAAAACAAAACCAGAGAATTGTGGGAATGATCAAGAGGCTCTTGAATATCCAGGATTTAAATACTGGCTTCATTTTTTTCAGGTAGGAACTATTGAGATTATACTTATAGAAGCCAGGATGGACTCCCAGCTTCTCTAGCATAAGCTAACATTTATTCAGCCAGTCTTGTGAAGTATGAATCTGGTTAACTTATCAATTTCTTCCACCTTAGATACTGTTAGATTTCATGCTATCCACTTGGGGTAATGTTGG